GCTGTGCAAGTCTCTGATCATATGAGTGGCCCTTCTCTTGACTCTCTCAAGCTTTACCATGTCCTTGTTAAGGTGTGGAGCCCAGAACTGGATGCAGTACTCCTGCTGCGGTCTCACCAGTGCTGAGTAGAGCTGAGTAGAGCAGGACAATCACTTCTTTGCAACGGTTTTGCTGGAGATGCAGCAATTGATGCATGCCAGCGTATTGTTGGCCCTGCTGGCTACAGCATCGCACTGCCGGCTCATGTTCATACTGTGGTCAATAATTACCCCCAGGTCTTGGTGACAAGTGATGGGGGATTTTCAGTCCTGCTGCCTGATGAGAGGCAGCAATTGCACAAGCACCCATGACATGAGTTTTACCTGTCAGCAGCAGCTAGGGGTGCAGGGCCCCAGAACCCTCCTGCACCTATCTCCTTAACAGCTGGCAGGCTTTGTGGCTGCAGCAGGGCCTAGCAGCTAGGCCTGCAGTTGTTGCTCCCCCGCCCCAAGACAGACACAGTTGCACAAGCACCCATGACATGAGTTTTGCCTGCCTGTGGCCAGAGGTGCAGTGTCCCAAAACCCAGAACCCCTGCACCCATCTTGTTGACAGCTAGCAGGCTTTGTGGCCTCAGCAGGGGCTAGCAGGCCTGCATCTTTCACCCTGCTGCACCTTAACACACACAGTGTCACCCATGTCACAAGTTTTGCTTGTCTGCAGCTAGAGGTGCAGTTTCCTCCAAACCCCTACACCTATCTCCTTGAAACTTATCAGACTTTGTGGCCTCCATAGGGGCTAGCATGCCTGCAGTTTTGACCCCACTGTAGTAACACATACACGTGACACAAGTTTTGCTTTCAGGATTTTGGGGTGCAGTTTCGCCAAACCCCCTGCACCTATCATCTTGAAACTTGGCACACATCATGCCCTCAGAAGGGGCTACTATTCCTGCAAGTTTCATCCAAATCTGGCCAGAAATGACAGTTATAGCCTGTTTTGACATTCCCCATTATATCCTATGGGCAAAACGTTGAAACAGGGTCAAAACGGCTAAACGTGGCGATGGAACAAAACAGTTGTTTCGACTCGAAACAAAAGTCGAAATGGACCACTGTTCTGTCGAAACGTCGGTCAAAATAGAACGCTTCTGTTTTGCACAGCCCTGAGTTGCTGCCTGCTCTGGGCTGAGGTGGCTTGTGCAGTGTGAGAGGGGGGCATGAGGTGGAGAGGGAAGGGGGAGTATGCAGGGGAGACCCAGGATCTCACTGATTTCCTCCAAGAGAAAACAACCAAACTACTACATTTGTTTTCCTTCCATGTCTGCTTGTTTTCCTTCTTCTCTTCATCTCCAGTAACCTTTATCTTCTCTCTGGTTACAGACACAAGTTTGTCTTCTCCTCTCCTCCTGTTAGGCCTCTATCACATGCTTGAGTGACCCTCCCATCATCCACCACACACACCAAAGTCCCTGTTGACTTCTTGGGTTAACCTCAGAATTTGTACTCAACCCTTATCTTAAACGTTCACAGCTCTTCACAGCCTGTTTCCTGCATAGTTTCATAGTAGCTAGGGGCAGGAGGGACCTGAACAGATCATCTAGCCTGACCCCCTGACACAGGCAGGAATGAATGCTGGGGTCACAAGACCCCAGACAGGTGATCATCCAACCTCCTCTTGAATTTGCCCAAGGTAGGGGCGAGGACCACTTCCCTGGGAAGGTGGTTCCAGATTTTGGCCACCCTAACTGTAAAATATTGCCTTCTGATCTCCAACCTAAACCTATTCTCCATCAGCTAATGACCATTATTCCTCATCACCCCAGGTGGTGCTGGGGAGAAAAGAACTCTGCCTATTTGCTGTTGATCCCCCCCTGATGAGCTTGTAGGCAGCCACCAAGTCCCCCCTCAGCCTCCTCTTGCTGAAGCTGAATAGGTTCAGGTCCTTCAGTCTCTCCTCATAGGGCCTGTCCTGCTGCCCTCTCACCAAGTGGGTGGCCCTCCTTTGAACCTGCTCCAGGCTGCCCACATCCCTCTTGAAGTGCGGCGTGCAGTAGTGGACAAAGTACTCCAATTGCGGCCTGACCAAAGTCACCTAGAGGGGGAGTATCACCGCTCTGGACCGGCTTGAGATGCACCTTTGGATGCATGACAAGGTATGGCTGGCCTTGCTGGCTGCGGTCTGGCATTGGCGGCTCATGTTCATCTTGGAGTCCATAATGACTCCAAGATCCCTTTCCGCCTCTGTGCTTTTGAGAAGGGAACTCCCCAGCCTGTATGTATGCTGTGGATTCTTTCCCCCAAGGTGCAGCACTCTGCATTTATCTATGTTGAACCCCATCCTATTCTCATCTGCCTACTTTTGTAGTCTGTCTAAATCTAGTTGAAGCCTCTCTCTCCCTTCAAGTGTGTCCACCTCGCCCCACATCTTAGCGTCATCAGCAAACTTGGACACCGTGCTTTCCACCCCCTTGTCCAAGTTGCTGATGAAGATGTTAAACAGCGCGGGCCCGAGGACCGAGCCCTGGGGTACCCCACTGCTCACATCTTGCCAGGTGGAGTATGACCCACCCACCACTACTCTCTGGGTGCGCTCCATCAGCCAATTTTTTACCCATCCAACTGTGTAGGCATCAATGCCACAGTTGCTTAATTTATTGATGAGGATGGGGTGACAGACAGTGTCAAAGGCCTTCTTAAAGTCTAGAAAAACATACTCTAGCATTGGCCCTTCAGTCCACTGCCTGTAATCAATCCATGACAGCAATTTCCATCACCCATTTGTTAAAATTTCAAACAAGCACCCATATGTGCTTTTCTCTTGCTGCCCCTAATGCTAGGCAGGTGCTTCCCATAAACATCTGAAAAGTTAATTCATGTTCCTTAAGATCGCCTCTTGACATTTTCCCTCGCTCTGAACCTGTACCCACAGAAAAACTTGATGAAACACCTACTGCTGACTATATGATGCTGATTAATACTGTCTCACATTTTTCTCTTTTACTCCCATCTGTCTGAATCCATCTATTGTCTTGTATTGTGATAGAGTTGGAGTGGTGTTGTAGCTATGATGTTCCAGGAAATATATGAAGCAGGAAATGCTTTTTTGTGGTATCTTTTATTAGACCAACAGTATAGTTGGGAGAGATGTTGGACAAGTTTCAGGATTTATATTGTGAGCTCTTGTGTGCCTATTGATATAATGCCTAGGCTCACAACAATTATGGTTTATAAATATGTCCCTACCAATAATAATAACACTGATCTCTCTGTGAAGAACTGTCCATGGTTCATTATCTTCTTTACATACATTGACACAAGCCATTAATTTAGGGAATAATAACAACATGCGTAGCAGCTGTTGCTTTGGCTGACTGTGACCACAACAGACTGCTGTGGTAGCCATGAACAGTGGTAATACTGCAGAACTATTAACAAGTCCTAAATAGTGTAGGGAGTGTTTATGCTGTTGGGGTTATGACTGGGATGTGGGTGATTGGACCTTGACTCAGGAGACCAGGAACAGAGAAGACCAGAAATGAACAAGATCCAGATGAGATGACAGAGTCAATAATCTCTTGACTCTATCATAAGCAGGTGGGTCTTCTGAGATCTGTAAGGGACCAAGACATAGGCAGTCACTCTGACTAGAACAACTAGCCGTGGGGATCGGGAACAAAAACCAGGGATCCAGGTCAGAGTCACTAGCCAAGGGATCCACAGTAGGCAGCTGTAAGAGACCAGGACACTGGGTTTGGTAGTCATGGATGGTTATCAAATTAAAGCCATAAACCAAGAGCTACCTGGCTCCCCTGAAGACAGGGGTCTGAACTAGAACCAGGAACAAAGGGGTCAGCAGACTGGCAAGTCTAGAGCAAAAGGGTCTAGGCTAGAATCTGGAATCAGCAGGTAGGAACCAGGATTCAACAGGCTAGAAGCAGGAAAGTAAGAACAAACAATCAGAAATATGAGGTGAGACAGAAGCATCTGTCCTGTTGAATAAACCTGCTGGACACTGAAAAAGCTGCTGCTTATAAGCAGGCAGCCAAGCCCACGCAGGCAACTGGGGCCAGCTGGAAGCAGTTAAATTGTTGGCAGCTGATCCATTCAGGTAACCAGGGCCAGCTGGGGGCAATTCAGCCTGCCTGCTGCCCTGACATATGCCAGCTCTGCATCACAACATTTCCTTTAATGCTGTAGTCATTAGATATACTAGCTTTATAGATTTTTCCCCAACGGGTTGTGTACATGTATGGGGACTTAATGTAATTGTTTTGATTAATGTCGCACAATTTTGTGCCATATAAGCATTATTTTAATGTGGCATCCATTGTGGTGTGTACTTTGTGTCATATGAGATTTCTCTGTGGCTAAATATTGTGGCTTGTGTTTTTGTTTGGGAAGCCAGTGGCCTTGCGTCCTGTGTGAATAGCTTGGTGTGATCATGCACTTAAGTATACATGGGTGGTATGGAATGTAATAGCCATATTTCAAGTATTATGTCTCTTGTGATGGTGGCGGTGGCTGGAACAGTTGTGCAGTAACACAAACTCCAGCTGTGAATCGTGTCACCCATGCACTCTGAGGGAATTCAGCACTGCAAGGACGAGACACCCCGCCTACACTCCCTCCTTGTGACGTGGATCAAGCCCATGAGCCTCACCATGCTTCGAGACCCTTGCTGGTGATGATACTGTATCTACAGCCAGGCCCACCGTTAAGCTGGCCAGCATAGAGGACATTTCGGTTTTCTGCTACTCTGTCCTCTATTGATACGAAACCCGATGCCTTTATGTCCTCTAGTTTTCTAAATAAATAAATACATATTTCTCTAAATAAACGTCCTCTATTTTCTAAAATAGAGGACACAAAGGCGTCAGGTTTTGATCAATAGAGGACAACCGGGCTGTCCTCTGTGACGGTCACCCTACCCACTATGGTGTGGAGGCATGCATCTAGGTGCCAGAGGTGATTTGCCCTGGCCCTCACCACTGTTTTCTGGCGTGTGAAACTCCGCAGGGATGGATGGCTCCGGGCCGCAGGTGTGCGGGGGCCTCACAGCCTGTTTCCTCTGGAAGTCCGCGACAGCCCGCCTATGCGGACCGTAGCCCCGACCCTTTCCCCAGAAGGCCCACGCG